ACAGTACTCCAGACAGAATGCCTGCCTCTGGAAGAAGAGGAGCTGCCGAGGTGGCACCAGACCTGCTAGAAGACTGCAAGAAAGAAGTTTAAAAAAAAAAAAAAATAGCAGTGGATGGAGGGGCTTTGGAGGGTGGGGGAGGCCGAGGGTTAAATGTCCAGAGATTCACTTTAATGCACTCATTAAATCATGGCAGTGAAAAGAGAATGAGTGATTTTAAACCATTTGCACATGAATTCTTCATGGTCAGTGTGGCGGTTTTTTTTTGTCCTTTTGGCTGTATATTTTGCACTAAAAGTTATCTATCTGTCGTCCCGCCTCGGAAGGTTGGGAGATATGCGATGGCTCCCCCAGCACATGGAGCATGCAGTACATTTCATACAAAGGACACATCTGCATTAAAATGATCAGTTTACATCACAGAATATAACTACTTATTATGGTTTCTTCCTCGCCTTACAAAAGACAGCAGCTAATTGGCAGATTACCAGCCGCCTATCATTCTACCAGACTCTGCTGGTGCCTGTCCAGCATAGCCTACTGATTGACAGCATAGCACACGCTGCAAGGAGGGGCCATGGAAGATGTTGGTTTTCCTTTCCTGGTTGTGTTTATCAGGCTGCTGAGAGTGTTTCTATAACTTTTCTATATAACCAATCTATATATGAGTGATTTTGACATCTAAAACACAGTACACTAAGCTCCCATATTACTGCATTTCAAGTAAAAACGGTGATCTGCACAATGAGTGCAGCAGAATGCTACAGAAGGTAACTCTGGGGCCTTGGAATGTTGGGGTCCTGGGTTTATTTTCTACCAGGAAGGATCTGCACAATACTGTTGGGATCCACCCTGCTGCCTGATTGACAGCTGGCTTGGCCTCTCTGGAGCCAAAGCCAGCTATGCCCACCCCTTGCCCTGTCTGTCTCTCCAATGAGCAACGGAGAAACAGAGAGGAGTGGGGAGAATCCCTGCAGGGGCAGTGACTAAAAATCATTGCTCTCTGCAGGAAGAACACTTTGAGCTGAGCGATCAGCGGCCACAAGATCACTCAGCCCTTGCTATAGAGCTAGTATGTGACACGCCAGCTCTTAGCAGCAGGGAGAGTATCTTCTACTCTCCCCGCACTTCTCCTTTAAGCGTCACTTCCTGTCCTAGAAATGGTGGTCTTTGAGATTTGAGATCTCTCCAGTGGAAATCACAGAGACATAAAAACACTTTTTTTTATATACAGGTGAAATTTAAATAATTAGAATATCGTGCAAAAGTAATTGCAGTAATTGCTGCAAAAGGGGCCCAAACCAAGTACTGAGTACATATGCATGCTTGTACTTTTCAGAGGTCCGATATTGTTCTATGTACAATCTTTGTTTTATTGATTGCATGTAATAATCTACTTTTTTGAGGTTGTGGATTTGGGGTTCTTGGGGTTTTCATGAGCTGTAAGCCATAATCATCACAATGATGACAAATCACGGCTTGAATTATCTTGCTTTGCATGTAATGAGTCTATCTCATATATTAGTTTCACCTTTTAAGTTGCATTAGTGAAATAAATGAACTTTGCACCATATTCTAATTATTCGAGTTTCACCTGTGTATATATTAGAGAAAGGTTAGAACCTTTGACATGCTTTACTGCTGTTTGTGTTCTCTTTGGAGAGATTTCCCTCACTTCTTTTCCTAGTGACATCTGGATAGAAAGTAAGGAAAAATCTCCCTAACTGAGACCCAGACAAAGGTAGAATGCTGACAGCTGTTCTAACCCTTCCTAAAAAACCTAACCCTTCCTAAAAAACCTAACCTGTTCCAACCCTAAAACTAAAATACAGAATGCATATTGTAGAGAGAACCGATCTTTCCATTGTTTAGGGCATTCAATTCCTAAATATTTTTCTAAAGTTGGAGTTGGGTTTACATTATCAATGTAAACGATGTAAACCCAACACCAGCTGTGGGAAGAGTCTATTTTCGGCCTGTAATACGCCCAGGTGTGAACCATGCCCATAGGAAATAATGGGATTTCGGTGTTTGAGGGTTTGCAGAGCGTAGGAACGCGCCACAAAATGCCCAGGTGTGAACCGGGCCTTAAATGTGAAGTGAATCTATTCTTTGGGTTAAAAAAAAAATGTTTTTATTTATGAATGTTCCTCAAATTTGTACTTTTTCACTTCAGACACTTTTAAGTAAAACAAAACCCAAAGGTTTCAATATGTAAGTTTCATTTTTCCGTAACAGCATATTGTTCTGCATTATAGAGGGCTCTGTGTGAAGACGAACAGCGGGGGTCCTATAATATTCAGTGATAACTGGTGGTAGGGGTAAAAGGGGTCTCTGAGAAGACGGGCACATTGAGGCTCAGTCATTAAAGGCAATAGAAAGGCAAGAGTCTAGGATGCTCTTATTAAATAATGAATGAAATACAGATCAGGATGGTTGTTTTCACCAAGTATCCTACCTTCAGGTGCTCTCATGGACTTTTCTGTCCACATTCAAGAAGATTTTTTGATAAAAGTTGGAGACATGCATGTCCTTGTAACGATTGCAAGATCACAAACTATTTCCTTTTGTTTTTCTAAATGTATGCACATACATTAAATATTTTTATGACATTTGGAACCAATAAGACCAAACGTTGTCACATCTTTGCACTTGCCCCTTAGTCTGCAGGCAAACAGCTAAACGCAGAGTTAAAAGGCACGCATTTGAATGGTCTTACCTGCTGAAAGATATGTCATTCTCTTTAGATAGTCTTATTTATTTTAGACACCTCTGCCAGATAGAATAGTCAGGTTCTTGACCACTAGTTAATCCTGTATAGTTAGGTACAGTAAAGGTACTAAGTCACACTGTACAGTTTGGTCAGGAACTCCTCACTCCTCCTCATTGGACTATGAAAGAGAATCAGCACTCGGATTGTCATCCCTGTCTTCTCCTCACGTATATGCGTGGGAATAGTTTTAGGCTCACTGCAAAGCTAAATTTAGACATATTCAGGTACTTTTACTGGCTGCATTTAAAAAATGCACTTAAATTAAGAATTAAGAATTACTTATAAATAAATTAAATTATATATATAATATTTAAATATTTTTAATGCAAATAATGATAACGATACATAATTCTGTTGCATCACTTGTCCGGCTCATTAGGTATTTCACCAGCATATGTTTGCAAATAATTTAGCAAATGAGATTTGTCTTTTGTCTTTCTTCTAATAAGTAAAAGATTTGTTTTTAAAGTCTGCCAACCTTTAAGGCAACATTAAGACACAGCGATTGGTTTCGGGTTTGGTTTACTGCCAACCATACGTACAGCGAGGGGATTCAGCAAGTCTACCGTTACTTACATTCAACTCATAACTGGTTTTCAGCTAAATATATATTGTTCAGTATGCTGGTGATTTGTCATCACCGATTTATAAAAAAAAAACTTGTTGCTTGTTTGCTGCATGAAATCATCATTGTATAATGAAATTATGATCATGGCTATTATAAAGTATTTTACATGTGTCAGGTTGAATATATTGCCGAAAAATATCTATTTTCCGAAAACCTGAGAAAATGACCAACTTTGCAGAGAGCAATGATGTTGAGAGCAAAGAATGAAGCCATAGCAACCAATCAGATTTCAGATTACACAAGTCAGATTGGTGGTTGCCTGCTGTGGCTTTTACCTATACCTGTGTGAGTTACGCAATTTGGTCAAAATGTAGGATCTGCAATGATATTTTGCTTTATTTAGACTGGGGAAGGGCACCATATCACTTTTGGTGTCTGATGGTGTCAAGCATTTCTATAGCACAAGAAAACTGCAGGGATGCTGAAATATGAATTATCATAAATGGAGCCAGTGTGGCAGAGTTCATTTTGTGTCAGCCCTTTTCATTGTTCTAGCATTTTATGTCCCTTCTCCAATCTGTTACATGTACATGTTTACAAATCCACAGAAATGTATGCGAACGCATGCAGAAAACACGCTATGATGCAACGTCATAAAAACAGAAGGGGGACTAGAGCCTGAGTGCATGTATGGGACATTAGGTGCTATAGCCAAGGTATAGTAACCAGACCAGACTGATGAGGTACGTTTTATATATCAGCACAAGTGGAATGAGAAATAAGGTACCATTATGTATTATCTTTATGGATGATTACAGATGCAATTACCTGAGAGTGTAAGTGCGTGCAAATATCAGATTGTGTTTGATATGAATGGATTGTTCTAGCCGAAAAAAACCTGTTCATCACCGGACTAGTGTATGGATATATGTAATGATGCTATCCAATCACATGCTAAAACACACATGCTGGGGTTGGGGGGATAATGTATTAAAGACTTAAAGTTTACTATATTGCAAATGTAACCAGCTGCCTGTGGATCCCGGTGATTTTGGTGAATTGCATCTACTTTTTGGAATCCTAAATAGTCGCTTTGCTTGAATATGTGCAGATTGTGAGTTCTGATGGCCTGGATTTATGACCTGCATGAATTGCAAGGACTGAGCAAATATGGAAGAAGATATCCAGGTGAATTGAAAATTGCATTTCTGCATGAAAGTCAAGTCATCACTTTTGACTATAGCCTCACTTATCTCACCTTCCCACAAGTCAGTCAACTGTTATTTGCTTTTTAAGAGACAGAGACCATAAAATCCGGCACATGGATGGATGCACTGCAGTCCCGTGTTACTATAGATGAGTTAGTAGATTAGATACAAAGCTTCGGGAGCAAGAAGTTCCTGAAAAATGATTTTGCGAGGTGTAGGTTATTCCATTGCACTACATTCAGAGACTAGTCACATCCTGGGCAAACTGCAGCATTCAGGAGCCAGTCAGTCCTATGCAGCAGCTAGGTGAACATTCTGAAAGGCTCAGTGGCACCCACAGACAAATATTAAGCACCAGCTGTAATTATTTTGGTTCACAGATCAATACAGAAGATGTAAGAGTTGCTGACATTTTCATGCAAAGCACACAATAAAAGACATCATGGCTTACCCAGAAGGCATCCCAGGGCGCAGTACCATCTATGAGCCATCCCTCCAGGACAAGTCGACGTTGGGCGCAGGATAAGTTTTGGAAGAAGTTACACTTCAGCTGTGATGAGAAGGGACTGTTCTCTGGCCGGTGTCAGCACTGCATGTGTAACACAGGGGCTGCTGTTGCTGGGGAACGCAGTGCTCAGTCTGATCACATACTAATGTGTTCCTGAAGGCAGGCTGTCCACAGTGTGTTGTTAGATTTAATGGAGCTTGGCAGTTATAGGTTAAACTTAGGAGAGGTGGAGACTTGCAGGATCCTGCAGACTATTATTACAATGCATGCTGGCTGTTCATTCATACTTCCAAAGTGTACACCTCATCCTACTCTTTCACCCACGCAGCACTCACCCATGTGCACACAGCTCCCAAATGTGCCTGGTTTTCAACGGCAGTCCCTTCCTTAGGACCCAAATACCTCAGTCCATTTCTCCTTCCCAGCTGTCCCTTTTCAGTTGCGAAGCACAGATGTTTGTAAAAGGAAAATTGTACTGAATAAATATGGAAACTGTCATTGCTGTCCTCTCCTCCTCCAGCCATGCTGATCCAAGGGATTCATTCGTTTGACTGACTTGAAAGAAGTATGCAAACCAGAAGCTTTAACTTCACTTTTTCTGATCTTCATGCTTGTCACGGGTCAGTGACTCAGCATGGAAAAATGTGCTAGTCACATAAAAAAAATGAAATTAAGATAAACATAATAATAATAAATATTCGTCCACTGTGAATAAATTATACTTTCCCTTTAATAAGCATTTATTGGTGCTTTTTATTGCAGCGCTGTTTGTGGTGCGTGTTTGCATGTGTTTATCCATGTATGCTGATACATGAATGAAAATGAATGTGAGTGAACTCTCTGAGCACTACACAGATGCAGCATTCACATTTAAAAGTCTATCATCTTAGTGGGCACTAAAGACTTAAATTATGAGATGTATTTTATTGTTTTCAGGGGAGACTTAATGATCTTTGCACATTCATATGGTGCTGAACCTTAGTTGTATTTTGCACACATTTGGACCTTTCGTAGTGCGATTGTTTTAAAATTAATTGCCCCTTTTGTCTTTTGTCTCCAATAATCCTCTCTAGCCATTGCATGTTTGTCTACAGGTTTTTTTTTTTACCCTAGAGCAGTGGTTCTCAACCTGTGTAACCTCAGTACCCAAATTTGTCCTTGGTCATTAAGTGGTGACCCAAGTCGCACTGCAATGGAACGCACAGCATTGCGGTACCGCGCGTTCCTGTGCGGGCGATCGAACTGTGGGTGGGAGGTGCGTTTTAGGATGCCATTCAAAGATCCACCCAGTTTCCATACCTTACGAGAGCTGGAGTGGATCTTCAGCCTGGGGTCCAGTGTGGGCTGCTGTGCTGTGACGGAGCTCCATCCATATGTGCATTGCTTGTACAGCTCCCTTTGCGTGCCCTGTAGAGGTGCCGGGAGCCAGAATGTGACATCACTCCGGTCCAGGCACTTCTACAGGGCATGCAAGGGAGTGGTGTAAACAACTGATAGTTATTAACACAATTGCTCCGCAATCATGTTTAAACTAAGCTTATGGAAGAAGAGCAGGTAGCACCAGGTTCCAGTAGGTACTGTTGGTCTCCTAAAATGTACCTACAGCGTACCCTGGTAGTTCCTCAATCCAGGTTGCCAGCTGTATGCAACTGCCACACTTCCTGTTGGTAAGGTATGCTCATGAAGGTTCCCACAGTGAGTGGATTAAACCTTTTTGTATTAAATATTGGATCATGCTTTCTAACACCCCCTGCGTCATTTTCTTGACCCTTCCCTAGCTTTAATATTATGTGAACAGATCGGGGCCTACTTCAACACTCCTCTACATACATCTCACCCAACCAAAGGCCGGCCAGATGACCCCATACCTCAGACAATTGGAGAAAGACCTACTGCCTTTATGACAGAACAGTGCCAAAAGATACTTCACTTAGTGCACCTAGTTTCAAGAACCCAATTTCAGAAACTTGTCTATATGGTACATATCTCCATCAGTTATTCATAGATTCTATTCAAAAGTTCCTGACTGATGGCATTGTAACTGATAAAGGCTTAATTCTTCATGTGTTCTGGTCCTGCCTGCCTTATCAGACCAAGGTAAGGGAAATATCCCAAACAAATCACAGACTTTATTCTCCCAGATGATCTAGCCTTACACCATTCAACCATCTCCATAAAACTTACGAGAAATCCATCTTCCTACATCTCCTAAATGCAGCCATATCCTGCATTCCCCCGAAAGTAACCATGTGGCTGTATAGGGTAGAGGATATCAGACAGATAGGAGGCGTCACAGTCTTTTCCCAAAATAAACACAACCTTCACCAGACAATATGGCTTTACTGGATTGACTTCACATTTTCGGCATAGGCAAGGCCCCTTTTTATCCCCCGGTGTTCACCTGAAGGACTTAATAACACCTCATGTTCTTTCCTCTTCCCCTTTCGGTCAATGTAGACAGTAACTACAGAGTAAAGATGTACACAGACATGAGATAACACAATGAGCACCTTTGTGACTGCTAGCATTTGTCATAGGGATATTTCAGGTGGGTAGATGTGGATCGAAAAAAACTGACTCCTCCCATAACGGGGTGTTGGCAGTGTCCCTTTGCCTCTTCCTTCCCCTTTTAATTCATATAATGCAGAACTGAGCTTAGAGGTTTATGGGGTTCCCTGATGTTTCAGGCAAGCAACAAAAAGCACGGTTCAAATATGAAATATGAATTGCTTTACTTTGCAATTCCGTGTAGCCATTTCCATAATGCACGCATTCCTTCACACAGCACCGTCTGGGAAAAGTGAGGTACCTGAGCTTACTTTTTTTCGCTAGACTTCAGGATGCTCCCATTCAGCATGCTCCGCCAGTCAGCACAGCGAGCCAACCAGGATCTGCTGCATTGTGCAGTGGACAGCATTGTGCAATGCAGCAGATTCTGGTTGGCTCACTTTGCTGGCCCTCCTTCTCCCATTGAGTCCTAATATGCAGAAAATTACAGAAAGCTAACATAAGAACAGATTAGAATATTATAATATTTTTATGATTTTAATGAATATATAGCTTGGATAAATTGAGTTTTTATTTTCCTGGAATCAATGATAACTAAATAGAAAAACATAGTGTGTATGTGCTATAATAAATAACATACACATGTTTATAATCTTCACCAGTGTAAAGGAAAAAATAGAAGGAAACATATGTTCAAAAATCATCAGCAACCCTGCGTCTGATACTTGGACACAATTCCATCCCGTGCTTTTCATTATTTTCAGGAAAATTGGGCATTTTCCTGATTATATAATAATCATGAAATGATGTAAGGCCAGAGTAATTATATGATCACCATGAAGAG